AATAGTGATGCGCGTACAATGTGAAGATCTGGGGGTCCAAAGTGCAAATCTGTGCGAGATGATGCCTTTTGATTCACACAACAACAGATCCTGACGTTCAGGCAGGCATGAAAAAGTTTTCCGCCACAGGGACTCGAACCCTGGTCCCGCGGGCGCCACACTATCCGGCTTGAGAGCCGCGTATACTGACCACCTATACGATAGCGGAGATTTATGTCTCGCTAGTTGAGGTGTTGCTCATTCGAAATTCAAACATATTATATATCGAAAAGTCCATGTTTTGCATGTTATTGTAATTAAAATTCTTTATGTCTTGCAGCAATGTCCTCTCTTGCTCCCACAGGACTCGACTTTATCCTGGGCTTGAGTCTTGCAGTTTCCTTCTGCCCCTTGGTTGAGTGAGGACTGGGTTGCTGTTTCCTGCTTGAGTTCCTGAACTGCTTGTTTCCAGGAATACAACTGCTCTCCCGCATGCCTTTGGCAGCTTGGCATTGCCTTGCCCTCTAAGTTGCATAGTTCGCGTCGCAGACCCCCGGATACACCATTCTGTACCAGTGGCATGGGCGCAGGCAGGCAGGGAGGGGAGGCATGTGCCAGACCCAGCTCTTTCCCTCCGTATCACACTTTCCTTTCTTCTTATTTATATTCATTTACTTATGATGACAAAATGAGTGTGGTCAGCTTGCTGATTCAAATTTTGCAGCCATGCCTACTCAGGAATCACGAGGATAATTGGAGTGTGCTCTGGTGCATGGCTTGCCCGGTCTGGGTCCAGGAGAAGGTGGGCAAAACGGGTCAGGTTGCATGGCTTACCCTGCATTTGCAGTGAAGAGTTATACCGTATCGGCGCTACTATCTTGGGACGCCACTACCTTGCGAGGTGCCCAAGATAATTTAATAAAATAATTTTTTTGCAACTGTTGAGCGTTGCAAGGGACGTCCAGAAGGTGTCAAAATTTGCGAACAGCTTAAAATGGCGAAATAAGCAAAGCCTGCGAACTGCATCAAATGGCTCTCCGGCCATTGGTCCGAAGCTGCATGCAACCCATCAGCCCTTGTCCATGTCCTCAGCCTCCTCATCCCCGGTCTGATACAGGTATTTGATACAGGTAGTATCTGGGACCTCCCACTCCTCCACTTGCTTGCGCCCGCGCCCACGCCCTCGACCACCCCGGCCCCTGCCCCTACCCCTGCCACTGCCACTGGCCTGATTCCTTGTGCCAGAACCCCTGCCCCTGCCTGTCCCCTTGCCCCTCCCCCTGGCAGACTGGCTGCCTGTGGCTCCTGTTCTGCTGCTGCTGCTGCTGCTGCCTGCCTGGAGGTGTGCAAGCGCACAGGCACACCCTGCTGCTGCCCAGGAAGCTTGACCCTGATGACCTGCACCCACAGGGCTTGTGAGGAAGAAGGGGGTTCAGCTTGGCCTGCCCACAGGCCTGGGGAGCGGAGGAGGAGGCCTGACGGGCAGCGACAGCTGCTGCATGCTGGTCCCGCTGCTGCACTCGGACAGCGAAAGTGGGCTCTAGGCGGATGTGGAGCTCCCTGGGCTCAGGTGGGCTTCCCTCATCAGCCGCCGTGTGCTTGCACGTGGTGCACCCAAAGTCGAAAAGGGTCCTTTGACCCTTGGGGGCGTGTGAGTCCAATCTCAGGGGCTAGAAAGGCCACAATTAGCACATGCACACCTTGCGAGGCTTTAAAAAAAAGGTGATTTCTAGCGACGCTGGAATCTTGCGAGGGGCGCTGACAATTATTTATTTACTTGCAGCATTCCCAGCGCCGATACGGTAGTATGCATGCATCAAATATTTTGCCATGGAATACATGCAGCAATCATGATGTATGTAAGAATGTATGTAACAATGTGTGTAACAATCTTTGTGCATTGCGCACAAACACAGCATGCAGCATTGCGCACAGCAATGCTCCAGTACTCAATGCAGCAATGCACAAAGCCATGCATGCGGTGATGCAATGCAATGACACAGGCAGCAACATGCGCGTAGCAACATGCAATGCAGGCATGCAGTAAAGCATGCTGCAGTGCAAATAGCCATGCTCGTTGGTTAAGCGGCCACACTTGCACATGCATCATGGCATGCTCAATTGCTGTCACAGGTGTGTGTTGTGTCTCTTGCATGTCAATGGAGATGACTGACTGACATCATCAATCAATGAAAGACTTGTTGAAAGACACTTTGTTGCCTAGCAAATACTTCTCCTTTAACCCATATGTTCATGCTCAGAGGAGTTTGGGTGTTCTGGTAGGACTTCAATGTCTTGGTAAGCCTCTGGGCCCCCAAAAATGCTGTTTTGCAAGATCCGTAATCCCCGTTTGAATTTAATTAACAATACAGGAGGGTAAAAAAAAAAGTAGTGGACACCATGCCAAATTTTTGGAAGGGACCCTCCTCACCTTACCCCCACCCACAAAACCCCCCTTCCAGTGGCCCAATCCAGACAATAAGGGTACCAATATGCTCGTCTACTAATTTTGCATCCATGTGCATACTCAGCACAGTGAAAGGTTGAGTTGAAGCAGAGCTATGGGGCAAAAACTAAGGATTGGACACCCATGCAAGCCTGCCCTTTCAGGCACCCACAACTGCCTTGCAAGCCTATAAAGTTCCCTTCTGACTTCACCATGCAAGAACACATTAAACACTGTCACTATCCTGGAAGTTTGAAATGGGTTGCTGCATGTTTGCCTCGACAATCCTTGCAGCCCACACCCATGCGCACGTGGCTTAAACTCTGATTCATGCACATCGGCCCAAAGAGGGTGCCAATTGACAGTTATTGGGCTCAAGAATCCAAATCTATGCTTGAAATCCTCTAGAAGCGGTTCGGAAAAATTCTGGAGGGGGGATCCCAAAAAGCCCAGACCCCCCTAGGGACCATCCCCATCCGACCCTCTCCAATCGGACCCACAATGTATAATATTCAGCACGTCCTGAAGTGTGCTCCTGAACTAGGGGTCGGGGTGCTGTTCCATCCAATCCCCAGACAGAGGCCTCCCCCGCCATCACAGACTGAGGGGGGGCTGTGGGGCCTGGGATTCCGCTGCATTAGCCCTTGCATGGGACGGGACCACTGTTGGTTTTCAGAGCATTGCCTGTCTACCACATGCCTGTCCCAATCAGCACGCTGTGATTGGGGATTAAAGGACTGCCAGCAATTCATGAATTACATAGGGTGAGCAGAGTCTGTGATGGCCTGCCAGGTTGGACATGGACCCTCTGCCTCTCCCTCTCCCTTGACGCCTTCCAGTCATGGCAGCTGACGACCCTGGCTTTGTCCTTACGTTAAGAAATGCGCCGCAGACACTTGATTATTTTGTCCGGTTCAGCCAGACCGGGTCTATCAAAACTTCTGGTTTGAAGGAAGGCGCAGGCCAAATCCTTGATTAAATGCCCGGCTCCCGGTTGGCTTGAACATCCCTCACACACACACACACACACACACACACACACACACACACACACACACACACACACACACACACACACACACACA